CCGTTGATGCGGCGGCTGATTCCCGACGAGTCAGACCCCGAGTTCGCGAGTTTCCTGTCCGACCCGCACAAGTACTTCCTGTCGGCGATGCCGAGTCTTCTCCAGTCGACGAAGTTCATGGCGGTGGTGGATACTCTGTCGACGCACTCGCCGGACGAGGAGTACATCGGCGATCGACACCAGCCGTCGATCTGGACCGGCGACGGCGAGATGGTGGATGCGTTCTATGGGTTCGCGGCGGAGATCGGACGGATAGAAAAAGAGATCGAGAAGAGGAACTGTGATCCTAGCCGTCGAAATCGGTGTGGGGCCGGAGTTTTGCCTTACGAGTTGCTCGCCCCGAGTTCTGAACCCGGTGTGACGTGTCGAGGCGTGCCAAATAGCGTCTCCATTTAAAATAAATAAATATTATTTTGTAATTGTATGTAGGTGTAATATCTTTGCGTGCACTAATAGTTTTGTGATTTAGAGTGCGAAACTATGTGCATGTGTTTGGTACTATCATTCTTAATAGATATAGGGCTGTATATGATAGTGTAACGATTTTATTTAAATTTGTATAAGGAAAAATAATTAAATCTATTCGATTTTTGCAATAAAATAAAATATTTTTACTAAAACGAGATTAGATTTGATCATTTTAGTGGACGTATATTTTGCATTTTAAAACGTTAATGTAATAAAATCTGCATAACAATGATATAATGAGATATTGTGACTCTCTACTTGGGGTAGAGGGTTCTCGTTGCAGTTTTAATTACAAATGCACACCCTTCGCCGTCATTGACGTCCCGCCGTCTCTAATGTTAATGTCACGCATCGCATCATCGGAAGACCGTTAAATTTAACGTCGGCCGTCCGTCGCTGTCCCGTTTTCTATGTTCTCCGGTGGTTCTGGTTCCGCTGAGTCGGATGTGATCCGTTGCTCCGGGTTAACTCGGGTGCGTTGTCTAGTCGAGGGATGCGATTACAAGCACTGGCTCGTTGTCATGGAGGCTCCCAAGGGTTATCCACCTCGAAACGACATCGGCAGAGGCTATCTCAGAACCCTAACGATGGCGTTCGGTAGGTAATTGAAATTGATCAAACCATTCCTTTTAGTAGTTTCGATTGCTCTCGTGAGTCGTGACTCATTTTGCCTGTAAGGGTTCTCGTTATTGGAATCAGAAAGCTCAGATTTTTGTTTCTGGGTAAAGAATTTCAAAGCTAGACGTTGAAAAATGGGTATGGAGATCGAACATTCCGGACATTGTTCATCTGGATAATGTCTGATTTATGTTGCTTGTACTACTATGCATTTTGGTTGCAAGGCCCCTGAGTTTACGACTTACAAGATAAAAATGTACTGAAGTAGTTCCTTCAGATTTCACTTTCTAAGTTGGATTCTTCCATTTCGTCCATTTAGTTTATGATATGGTAGTTCATGTGGCATATATTTTGGTTGCAGCTCTGCCTGAGGTCAAATGGGGTTCTGCCGGATTCATTCATAGACAGTGAATACGGATATGGAGGTTTGGTTTGTTGTTCTAATTTGCTTTTTCGGCTGAACTTATCGGTTTTAGTTGCATTGGCCCTGTTCAGAACGCAGCATAAATCTCGTGGTTCTGATTAGTAAATGTTTAGATTTTTTTGTTTCTTGATCTACATCATGTCTTTAGTCTCTGATTTTGTGTTGCTTTTATAAACCAAGTATCTCTGGTAATGGCAGGATATTATTAGTACTTTGCTTCAGTGTTCCTTACAGTAAGAATCATGAGCTCTCTATCATTTTGGTTTGAGAATTGAGCTTGGAATATGTTACCTTATGGATCAGTTTTCGATTTTTAGAAAGGTCAAATATGAATTTGGCACCAAGTTATATGCATTGCATTTGGTGCTTCTCAAGATTAATGAATTATGCGACAATATTTTTCGATGACTATAACCAATGAAGTCGACTTTTGCTTCCTCACTCTTACAGTTTCAAGGATGTACATTTTTTGCAGTCAGTTGCTCATTCTCTTTATTCCATCACATTCTTGTAGATCTTTGAAGCTTAATGCAGAAGCCAGATTTTGTTTTCTTAAAAAAAAATTTGTGCTTCTGAAGTAAACAGTGAATTCAATAGCTTTAACTTCATTTTCTCGAAGTCTAAGTAGATATGGCAGTGAATTCTTTTACTCATGTTATAATCTGTCTACTGCAGGAGAACCTTTCATTGATGGGGAAGTAGACCCGTACGATGAAAAGTACCACGCAGACTGGCTTTCGAGATCAAAATGATGATAATGCTAAAAGCAAAGCCGTTGTAAAGAAGCCCGGGAGAAAAAGAACTAAGAAATTGATTAAATGAAGATATTTGTCTATTATTGGTTAATTAGTGTAGCTTTGTGTCATCTTAATGAAGGTTGCTGATTTTTAGACCCTACAGATGTGCCAGTGTTGCGTCTTGTTATAATGAAAAACGTGTGATGGAGATATTTCCACATAATGGTTGATTCTTCGTCTTATGCTTGTATTTTCAATCAGGTTCATGTAAACACGATGGAGATTTTTCCAACACGACAGAAAATGGGGTTTGGTGGCTTTCACTTGTCTGCCTTCCGGGACCAAGGTATGTGTTTGTGATCTGACTCTGCTTCAGACCATTTTGTCTGGACTTGGTTGCATATTCACTCAGATTCTTCAACATTGAGAACAGAACATCTAACATAGGACCTGTAAAATTCTTATAAAGGTTCAATTTTGGATGTTGATGTTAGATTCCTCTGGTGAATAAATCCAGGAATTATGTCCCTGTTGAACACATATTCCTTGCATTCAGATTTAACGTCTATGTTTACAAACTTGAAATTGACTGCTAAATTTCTATGTAGCCCACTTTACATTTTGCATTACATGAAAATCCTGTAGTATTTTCCTGTATCTAACATGACTTTTTTTTGTGTTGTTTCCTAACATCTAAACCTGTATGGAACAAATATAAATAAAATCATGAACAAAATCTACTTGACCGGGGAGTACAAACTGGTCCCTTGACTCTTGTACAGAGCAGTGTCTGAATATACGGTGGGGGACCTCATTGCCTTGACCTTACGTTTCTGCTTCGGACCTCTTTGATGTCTTTGGCAGAGTTTCCCTTTCTTTTCCTCCTTATTTTCTTTGCCATTCTTCCCGAGTGTCACATTGTCCCCACATTTGCTGTCATGCCCTTCCTTCACACCTTCCGTTGGAACTATGTACACAAATGGCCCGTTTTGGATGTCTTTGAGGTCAAGGAGAGACTCCAAAGTCTTGACCACTGTGGTCATTGTGGGTCGTGACTTGGGGTTGTGGCTGAGGCACTGATAAGCCAAAGCAGCCGCCTTCCTCACCCCTTCAACCGAGTACCGCCCTTCAAGCCCCCTGTCTATTATCACTTCGAGTTTGTTGTGATCTTTTAACATGGGTCTTGCCCATTCCACTAGGTTCCTCCCTCTTTGTGACCAATACTTTTCCACCGGTTTTCTTCCTGTTAGCAACTCTAACATGACGACCCCGAAACTGAACACGTCGCTCATTGTTGTCAAGTGACCTGAAAATGCATGAAGCAACATGTGGGTTATGGGCTAGAACACATGATTAGGCAGGTTAAGGTAGCTTTTTGGCTTGCACTGTAAAGTTCTTTAGGCTTTCTTGTTGAATACTTTTCATCTGGTCATATTCTTTACCTGTTGATATATATTCTGGAGCTGCATAGCCCTCTGTACCCATTATCCTTGTAACACTTGATTCTCCTCCCTCTGATCCATCTGTTGCTAGTCCGAAATCGGAGAGCTTAGAGCTGTAATCCTGAAAACAAATTTCAAATCAAAGACACCAGTTAGTTAGTTGACATGAGCATAAACTAGATACAATGCTGCAACATGTATTGGAAGCATCTGAATTTACCGAGTTTAAGAGGATGTTGGAAGGCTTAAAATCTCGGTATATAATGGGGGTTTGTTCTTCATGAAGGAAGGCAAGGCCTTTTGCAGCACCTAATAGAATCTTCATTCGGGTTAACCAAGGCAGCGTTCCTGCATATCCTGCATATTTTACCCATACTGTTAGTGATCCACAACTATAGCATCGCCGTTTTCTTTTCGTCTGATATATAAGTGCAGATTCAGTGTTTGTATGCAACCTACTTACTTTGAAACAGATGGTCTTCCAGGTTTCCTCGTTCCATAAATTCATACACTAGAAGCATATGTTCATCCTCACTGCAGTATCCGATCAAGTTCACCAGATGGGGATGCTTCAATTGACCCAAGATGATAACTTCAGCCTGCAGATTTAAAGTCCAAACGAAAAAAAGAAATAAAAAGGTCAGTAAAATCTCGTTCTTTACGAAGAAAATCTCATATAACATCGAGAATGTGATGAAACTGCTGGTGAAGAGATAATTACCAGCCACTCTCTATGGCCTTGGCCACCGTCTGGTTTCAAAGCCTTCACGGCAACAGGTTGAGCCTTCAAGCCGGCCCTGAGGCGGTCATCGATGAATCCTTTGTACACTTTCCCGAACCCTCCTTCGCCAAGGTAATTACACGTCGAGAAGCTCTGTGTGATCGTCTCGAGCTCCTTGTAGGTGAAAATGTGAAGGTCTACGAGAAAAGAAGCCGACAAGTCGCTGAGTGACACGGATGAGCTGCTGACATCAGAAACGGATATTCTTCTGCTTGGAAGAGAGCCTTGGTTTGAATACAGAGGCCTTCCCTCTGATGGGTCGATCTTGTTCTTCTTCTTGTTCTTGATGCAGTTTATGGGAAGACATGCTCTCCAAGAAAATACCTTGAAGGACATGGGGTTTTGTCTGAAGGGGGTTAATGTGAACGTGTGTTGTTTGTGTCTGAATTTTGATCAAGGTTTTGCCTTATATAGAGCTCTGAAGCTTCTTTGGAAAGGCCAAGGATGTTGAGAGAGAGAGAGAGATAGAGAGAGAGAGAGTCACAAAAGCAAGTCTGTGGTCTTGCAGTCAACCATGGACCAGTCCTCCTTGGTGTTAGATCAATTGCATATATATATATATATATATATTTATAATAAAGTCTTTGGTTGGTTATATTTAATTAAGAAGAGCTTGATAACATATTGCTTTGTTTTGATATAGAAGCTTCTTGGACTGCCCCAAAATCATACCAATGTCTCTCGTTGGTTGCGACCCCGCTGCAAGAGAGGCAGTTTGGTTAATAACTCGATAACAAAATAATACATAACCATAACCTAACCAAATTTGAACATAAACTAAATGTTTATGATTTTTTTTAAACTGAAAATAATCTAAAGTCAATTTTTTTAAACGGATAATTTATAAATAAAAATCGACCACAGCACTTGTTTAACGAAATGTGACTCGGTGACATGTATGTTTGTATGCCATATTAATCTAGATTAATGGTCCTACAGCATATTAATTAAACTTATCTGTTTACGATGAGAATTTAATACATAGAGATGTATAACTCACGACTACATAGAGATATATCTAACTTGACTATCCTTAAGATCATATTAAAGATATTATTAAATAGAGTTACCATATATATATATATATATTAATTAGAGGCAACATGAGACTAATTGAATCCTTGCTTAGATCATCGTCTGCTAAACCGTCATAGTTTGATGGGTTTACTCGTTAAAACCAAATACAATATATAATTATATGAATAAACCGTTTTAAGTGGAAAACGAGTAAAAAAAAAAAAGTCAAAGGTTGGAATTATATATGATACGGGACCATATAATTCGCAGCTCGTCAATAGATTTAAATTGTATAATAAATAAAAGATGGAAGCCTCTAGACTAGAAAGAGGGTTCGGATTGCGTTTAGCCGAAAATTAAAAGCAAAGACCGGATTTTAAGCCGAAGGAGGGGGCATCATACGGATCATTCTTGGATACAGCACAAACAAAGCTCAAGTTCCTCACACAACAAACAGAAGAAAGAAAACAATGCAAGAATTACATCAAAGAATCAGAGAGTCATAAAAATTATGAAATATGGGTTATTAATAATAATAATAATACTATCTCCTTTTAAGAATCATAAAAATTATGATACAGTTTTGGCCACCTCCACCTCTCTCTCTCCCTCTCTCCATTCTCTTGATGCTCTGAGTTTTCTCTCGAGATTGTGTTAAATCCTGAAACCAAGAAGCAAAATTGATCACTTCACTAATCAGCAATAGAACCAGCAGCTATAATCTCTGGAATTCAAGCATAATGTTCTTCGCTAAGAAGCGGAAAAAAAATATCAAGAAACAAAAGCCCAGAAGTTTGTTCATCACAACGAAAACAAGCAAGTGGAAAGACCCTTTGGAGGAATCTATGGCTTTCCATACATAAGATGCCAAAGAGATGAGCAGCTTAAAGGGTATAAACTGCTTACCAAGAAGATGCACATTAGCAACCGAGCAGCTAGCAAAGGCAGCTAGTAAGACTACAGAGAATTTCGATTTAGATTCATCGGGTTTAGTAACGTGTCATTTGTTGCAACATGTGAGGTCCCCCAGACTGCGAAACCAACTGTTCTGAACTTGGTGATGGTCTTAAGAGATGGGTCGGTCCACTTGGGTTTACCATCATCCCCTGTCTAATAGTTTCCCTTGGATTGCTTCCATTTGTCACTGTCTCCGAGGAATCCAGTAAAGCTCGGACCTGGCCACGCAGAATGGAAGGATTGAGCAATTTGTAATGTCCACTATATGCGAAACGTGAATGAATATAATTCTGTTTACCATTTCGAGCCGTTTCTTGTGAAGATCACTCGGCACCTGCAAGTTGTCAACTCAGGAATCAAAAGCATGCAGGCATGAAGTTTATTCCGCTCTTTTTGTTAACAAAAAAGTTTAGATTTTGGCTATCCGAACAAAGATGTAGATTCACAGATACAGAAAATATATGCTTCTCGGAAGTGAAGAAACTCAAATTTACTCACAGTTTTCTTTTGGTGTCTGTCTTCCCTTGAGAATCCTGGAACTGTCAAGTGCAGGTTTTTCTCTGCATACCACATTATTGAGCAAGATACATAAGCAAAGCAGTTCTTAGACGTGAGATTAATTCCAGGCCCAACAAAAACAAGCTAATGTTTTTCTCAAAGCTCAACTTCATCGAATGCCAGAAAGGTTCTCACCAAGTCTTCGCCATTGGACAGAGGAAATGAGTAACAATAGCAACTAACTGTACTTTGCATTGAGCAGTTATCACTGAAAATTACTAACCTAGATGTAGTAATACATCCTTGGGCTCCAACGTTGAAGATTTACGGTGCTTAGCCAAGCTACACGCAAACGTAGTAACCTGAAAGTAAGATATGTATCAGTAAGTTTCTGTTTTGAAATTTGAAATCTGAAATCATTCCAGCAATTTGCCAAGATATCTTTTTGGGAACAGGAATGGGCATAGCCTATGGAAAACGGCGAAGTGTAGATCAGAAAGAAAGGATTGATATATGGTTTAATATATACAGTTGATTTACATCTAAGAGAGTGATGGTGTAGCAAATTAACAGATATTTGACCAAATCTACCATATAGATAAAAAAAAAATATTAAACCATATTGAGAATTCCCTGTATGCCTGCACTGCACAACAGATAGATACGAGGTAAACATAGCCTCTCACCGAATCAATGAAATCATCTGCTATCTCCAAAAGCAGGTCTTCGACATCAGGATCCAATTTCCCACGTATATCCACCTGAAAATAAAAAATAATGTTGATAAAGAAATAGTGCTACAAAAAGAAGCCAAGAAGTTCAAGCGGAAAATGACCTGTGAAACTAGCTCCTGTATCTTTCTTTTGCCAAGCAACTGGTTTGTTGCTTCTGTTCCCTGGCTTGAACTACCACCGGGTGTTGTCGTACCTGATGCAGTAGCATCTGGTTGTGAACCAGTCAAACTGACAGATTTCTGTCCTGTGGGACCTGAAATCCTTGGAGATGGTTGTTGTTGTTGTTGTTGTTGATGTTGATTAGCTGCAAGTGGATGCTGTTGTTGCTGCATCTGATGATGTGGCTGCTGTAGCTGTTGCTGCATCTGTTGTAGTTGCTGTTGTTGTTGTTGCTGCTGCTGCTGTGGCTGAGGTTGATTCATCTGAGGCTGGCCCATTTGCGATTGTTGCTGCTGCTGCTGTATTAACTGAGATAACTGCTGTGAGTTCAAGGGTATGGAAGTCTGGTGCAATTGTGCAGATGGCAGTTGCTGCTGCTGCAAGAGCATAGCCTGCCTCTGATTCTGTTGGAGACGGAAAGATGGTGAATTGGGCGTTCCTGACATCTGCTTCAGCCATTGCTGCTGTGTCAAGGAGTTCTGCATCATACCAACCTGTCCATTCTGAGCCAGTCCTGATAACTGAGAATTCATGAACGCAAGGGAAGATGTTCTTGGAAGGTTTTGGACCTAGATAGCACATACCAAAATTACAAATGAAGGGAATGAATAAGATTGCTTTCAGGGAAGTTTTCTTCATTTGAAAGGAAAGAAGCAGATGATCTAAAGATGAACACAATGGCTGTAGAATTTGCTTCCTGTTACGTAAATATATTCGTTCCTTCAGAAATATACATGAATACATGAAAATCAATTGAAATCTAATAAAGAATCCAGCATCATTCAGGTAATAATTTGCCAATTAGAGATGCAGGCGAGCCAACATTCAGAACCTGTTGTCATGAATAGGCTTTATTAAATGCATAATAATAAGCAAAGGCAGTACAAGTTTATTGCTATAAGATTACGAAATATTATATCCAGTGCTAGGCAACTGAGTGTTAAAACCTGAGAGAAAGACCCGTAAGGTGCAACCTACTAGTCCGGGACATCATTCTTTTTCTTCTTTTGCGCAATGTCCAGGTATTATTAGCGCTCAGAAAGAAAATGAGCTTTTACTTGCACGTACCTGAGGTGAATTGAGAGGGTTTTGCTGTGACAATTGCTGTCTCATCTGCCCAGGGTTCATCCGTTGTTGGGCATAAAGGGCTGCATTGCCTCTCATCTGTGAACTCAAATTCAGTGAACCCATCATTCCCATTGCTTGCATTCCCGGTAACTGCTGCCCAGAACTTCCTGGGTGAAATTGGGAACCTTGAACCACACCAGATTTCTGCCTCGGCTACATGAAAAAACTCGCTTGTTTCAGAATCAATAAAGCGGATGTTGTGACAGAACTAGGACAACTGCATTATCTAGTCCTATTCAAATAAACGAACAAAATATCACAGTCAGCACCATGTTTTGCTGATATTCTCTTATAAGCTTTATCCCAAGTAAAAGAACTGCATTTCGACTTTGGTTGAAAGCTACGAACAGGTGTCAAAACCAGAATACTTAGCCCCAAGATAACCTACTTTCAATCTTCAGACTAGCTTTCCAATAGAAATCATCAATCGAGAATGAAACCTTGGCTCTTCGATCCCATTAATAAGTGGAGCCCCTGAAACTATTCTTTCTAAAAGGGTTTCTTCAACTACCATCAAAGAACTAACTTCAACTTCTACGGGAAAAAGTTTGTTCAATCTCAGCTCAAGTCTCAATGTGTAAACTGCATCGATAGAAGGGAACTGGTAAAAAGAAGAAAAGTCAGTGAATTAGTACCGAAGCTGCCAACAATTGAGACTGTATATTCAATTGGGTTGCTCCAGCTGCACCGTTGAGCATCGGCAACTGACCACTTTGGCCGACCAACGCCGCACGAGACAAGTTGAGATTACCCATCTGCGTATTCTGCGGTAAACTCTGCTGAACTGAAGCCGACCCACCAAAGTTCATCTGCCCGTACAGCCCAGATTGTTGTCTCAATACATTACCGTACTGACCTTGCTGCTGCTGTTGTATTTGATTCAGGCGAGAAACGGAAGGGGATCGCTGGAGGGATTGAGCGATTTGGTAATTCGACATTGGAATTTGCTGCTGACTCATATGTTGCTGTTGCTGCTGCTGCTGAAGAATCTGTTGCTGCTGTTGCGATAATTGCGGAAGGGAAGATGAAGAGATTTGCTGCAGAACCTGTTGCTGTTGCTGTTCTTGTTGCTGCTGCTGCTGAGGCCATTGCTGATTCTGCTGCTGAGTAGTTTGGACGATTTGCTGATTCGGCGTCTGCTGATCCAGCGACGGAGACGGGTGAGACAGAGGAGATGGCGACGGAATCTGCGGTCCCGCCGCCGCGTTCGGAGGCGCCGGTGTAGGATTCGGAGACGATTGAGGGTTACCGCCACTGTTCTGAATTACGCCCTGCGGTGTCGCTGCCGCCGTAGACATCACAGTCTCCGTAGCCATTGCCGCCGAGTTCACAGAATTCAGAATCGCAACAGCGCTCTGCGCCGAGGGTGGGTGGGGAGCAGACGATGCAGAGGAGGGAGGTTCCATGAGATTAGGGGATTGGAGGGGTTTTGGTGAAGAAGACGACGAAGCAGTAGTTTCCGCCATCAGAGTCAGGAATTTCCTGGTTTGATTTGTGGGTTTTTTTTTTTGACGATTTTCTTTCCGGAATCGCTAATTTTCCCCGGAAAATTTAAAGAGCAAAAAAAAGCCTTTTTTTTTTTTTTTTTTTTTTTTTATGGAGGGAGACCCTGAGAGAGAGAGAGAGGGAGAGAGATCTTGATCGTACACGTCAGCAAAGTCAACGGAAATAGATTGGAGGATCTATCGTGAAACGATGGAGACTCTTTCACTGGATTACTTAAAATTTTATGTCCCTCTCCTCATGTGCAGGTTGACACTAACAAAAATATGAAATAAGTTTCAAGTTAATAACTCCAAGAGGATAATTGTACATGTTATATCTATAAATACATAACATATATTTATTTAATTAAAAGAATCGGAAAAACCAAGCCTATTAGTTTTTCACCGTATTTTTATATTATTATTATTATTATTCTATGCTGCAAACTTTCATATATACAACTTTCTCCATAATGCCATCCATTTAAAATCGAGCATAATTACTATTAAGGTTATTCAGATATCTTAGGATGGAAACAAATAACTATTACGAATCGAATTTAACATAAAAATCGAAAACTTTTTTAAAATCGAATCCAAACAGAATCAAGTAAAAAAATAATTGAAAAATCGAAAAATTTTCAGTTGTGTCGTATTTTCAATATGAATAGCATCTTCTGCAACACACTTGAACTGATTTGTACAAAAAATGGATACATTTTGTCTCAAAGATGGGAAAAAAAAGATAACATTTTCAAAGAGTGGTGTTACTTTGCAAAAAAGCAATGAAACTAAAACTGGGAAATGGTTATGAAACATTACCATACACTCTGATCATACATTATACAGTTACATATACCTACTCACTGATCGAACATTTGGGAGATTTAACTTAAAAAACCTGTGCGCTAAGTAAATACACAGCATTTTTTTATCAAAACTTTGAGCTATGGAAAATAAAAAGCCAGAAGGAAGAGAGAAGAAACCTTAACCCCC